CTTAGAACCGAATCCCAACTGCGTTATATGCATATAACTCTTTTCATGGTCTCTGCCATAATCTCCAAACTAGATGCCAATAAACCACGAGGACTCCTTTATCTCACTGCAGTTGTCCCAAGGAAATGTGTTCCTGAATTGGCTCCTATTCTCTACAAACTCTTCTAAAAACGCCTTGAAGCTTCTTGTTGGAAATTGTCTTTTATAGTTCCTGTCTTTAAGAAATTTGGTAAACCTTCGAGTCCGTCGAATTAGTTTTCTACTTCTTTTTTGGTAAAATATTACAGGCCTTATTTGTCAAGCATCTCACTTTGTACGGCCTTCTTCCAGGCAAACAAAATGGCTTTCGCTTCTCTAGACCAATCGCCTATAACCTAGTGGTTATTACTGAAGGGTCTTCTCGTGCGTATGCAAATTGACGTCGTGGTCACGAATATAACGGAGAGAGCTATAGAAGAAAGGTTTACTATCCCATTTAAATTTCCCCCATTACGGGCATTACTATATCCATGATTCAATAACATCCTAGTTCCCGAACGGAACGCAATAACTGAAAAGAAAAGAAATAACAAACATGCTTTCTTCTCAGAGAAAGTTTAATACAACTAAGTCATGCACAAGTCTACAGCGTAATTGAAAAGTAACTCCCTATTTTATTCATGTATGAGTGGGCTAACCAGGAGTTCTGACTTAAACACCTTCTGACTTTTTTCTTCGGAATTGGTTAAAAGGACCAAGTCTACCTTACCAAACCAAAACTTTGGAAGAACTTGAAGGGCAAATACAAGAAGGTGTGTCTTCCATACTACAAGAGTTGAAGCGATTCCTGGCCGGCTCGAGAAGCTGGTAGCGAAATCTGTGCTCATATCGAATTTTAAATAAAATCTCATACTAAACGCTTTCCTTTCATATCCATTTCTTGTAAAAAATTATAGTCAATAAATAAATTATAAGTATTTTAAAATTGGCAGTCACTTTTCAATAACCTTGTATATATGCATATTTACACGTGTCTCACACAGAAAAATTATAACATATATGCAGCAACAAACAGTGTGTACAAAAAAAAAAGGCAGAATCTCACTTGTAATATTTCCGGAATATATTTCCGTACAAGAATTACAGCGATGTCTTTATGAACCTAGTGAGGGCATACGGCTTTTCCTGTAAGATCTTACCGCTGTGGGGTAGGGACGTCCTTCTTCTCCCGGTTTTACATCGCAACTACCGTTTTTCGCTCTGTCCTCTGACGTCACTCACCGGCCGTCGCGTGACCCCCGTGACTTTATCTTAATAAAAGGAAGATGATCGCCTTTTGTGTCCCTACACCAGTATCTGCATGATCTCTTTTTGATCCACGGTACTTTCATGTTGACACCTTTGACGGCCATCTATATAAAAATGTCAACTGTGAGGTAAATATTGCTTGTGTTGCTTCTTCTCAACTGAACGTGTTGACAAACTTTTACTCGACATTATAAAATATTTTGATAGCGTTTTACGTTTGGAGATTACGTCAGATCGTTTGTCCCTAGGTTTTTATTTCTGGTATCAACTTAAGTATTTTCTTCAACTCATTACTATCGATGAATTTAAAAAGAAATAATTGCTTTAATTTCTTCAGACTCTTATCTTCTATATAATAAATGCAGATGTCAGCGTGTCACGCTTTTTCAAATTAAAGGGAGACAACTCTCTGACTTTTAAATAGCTCATGTTCTTCTATGTAAATTAATGCGAATGTCTGTGTCACACTTTTTTAACTTTAGTCCAACATATCATACCATTTGGGAATCAGGCCGACTCTGTGAGCAAATTAAAAACATTGCAGGACGGATCTGGACCCTCAATCCTGAAATTTTGAATTGCCAAGTTTTCATTACTGCGATTGTTTTCAGAATCCGCCATCTTGGTTTCTACTGATAAAAACAATTAAAGGGGCATAACTCTCTAACTTTCAATAGCTCATGTTCAAATGAAAAAATACTGTTCTCAAATTGCTGTTTCAAAATAAAATTGTTCGTGTTTTTATCTTTACTCCTCGAGGCCGTAGCACAACATGGAATCACGCCGACACCACAATCCTGAAATTTTGGATTTTAATTCGTTATTGCAATTGTTTTCGTTAATTGGGGGGGGGATTTTTGAGACTTTTTTTTTTGTACTATAACAATTTTTATAACTTGGAAATAAATTTGGGAATAATCAAAATTAACTGCAAAACCCAACAAAAGTTTCCCATGAAATAAAAATAATTGTTTATACAGAAAATAAGAACCTACGTGCATCAAAATGTCTTTAAATGAAGTGGCAGCAGAAGAATTATCGTTGAACTTTTAAAAGGTAAGCTTAAATATTAATACAATACTTAAATGCAGCGATCACTTTTGAGTTCCTCTGTAGTTTATTGATGCATATTGCATCTACTACTAACAACCTATCGTGATGAAGGCCCAATCAAGATCCCTCTGCAGGAGGTAGCTTAAATGCCGCCTGATAGGGCGGATTTTAAGCTAGTTATAGATATATTAATAATAATTCGTTACACTGTATAATTTTAAGATTCTTAAAAAGTTGCCCCAGAGCCACGTCTGTAATTAGGGACCCGGATGATTAAGCTTCATATTTAGATCCATGACTAAGTATCGTCAGGATTGTTTTCAACATCTGATCAAACATAAAATTTATTTTTTATTACCTTCTTCGATGAGCCTAGAATATCTCAACCACTCCCACAAGCCCCCACCCCTACGGGCAGACTGCGTATTCATAACTATCTCCAAGTGCATGCCGTTGATCTGTTTCAGGTGTTTTTGCAGAAGCTGCTGATTGCGTACACACATGCATGTGTATGCAGAGAGGAAGGTGTGTCCGTGTGTGGAGGGTGTGTCCTTTATCAATAGCGTTTTTTTTTTTTTTTTTTTTTTTTTTTTTTTTTTACGCGCTTAGTTTTCCAACCACGAAATCTTTACTTTCTGATTGGCTAGCAAACATCCTGTTCGATTTAGCACGTGACAGGTGGAACGCCGCCTGCCCATCCTGAAGACAGCGGGAGACAACTGTCAGATCGAGTCTCAAGCAGAAATGTTTCGATATTGAACTGTCAAATTTATTCATTCAAATTTATTTCATTCGCCTTTCTTAAGGAGTTGCTTACTATTATTATTATTATTATTATTATTATTATTATTTTCTTTGATTTCTGGCGTTTACACATTTCTTTCCGGTTCTCGCCCAGGGACCTAAGGTTAGAAATGGCCTCATGACACTTTCCACTGACAAAAAAAAAAAAAAAATTACCTAGATAAAGTCCTTCGTAAAGCATGGGCTGTACTTGTCAGAACAATTTTTGTATCTCCTTGAGGCATGGACTTCCAGGAATCCCTTCAATTAGTCTACTGCAATCTTTTCCAACAAGTCCTAGGGCTCCAACTGCAACAGGGATTGTTGATGTTTCCATATGCCACATTTTCGAGATTTCTATTTCAAGGTCCTTGTATTTTGACAGCTTTTTGAATATCTTCAAAGATACATTGCAGTCTGCAGGGACTGCCATATCAATAAGGAGGCACCGTTTTTGTTTGTGGTCTTTAATAACAATATCTGGGCGGTTGGCCTTGATTGTTCTGTCAGTGTGTATTGTGTAGACCCATAGAATTGTAACAGGTCCTATCTCCGTAACCGGGTCTGGGTGGTGTTCATACCAGTTTCTTTCAGTTTTCTTCCCGTAGAAGTTGCAGATTTTCCAGTGCAGATATTGGCCCACTCTGTCATGTCGGGTTTTATATTCAGTAGGTGCCAACACCGTACAACCTGATACAAGATGATCAATCGTTTCTGGATATTTATCACAGAATCTGCATTTTGGGCTGACACAATATTTTAGTATATGTGCTTGATAATTTCTAGTTGACAAGCATTGGCAATGTGCAGCAAGGACAAAACCTTCAGTTTCCGCTTTCAACCCTGCACTACGTAGCCACTGATGGGTACGGGTTTTGTCTACGTCAGCTTGTTTGGTACGGGTAGAGTATTGGCCATGAAGCGGTTTATCTTGCCATCGCTTCTGTAACTGGTCGGTTGCATTCGTCTTTGCTATTATTATTATTATTTCCTTTGATTTCTGTTGTATAGACATTTTCTTCCAGGTCCCAACCAGAGATCTAAGGTCGGAAATGGTATCATGACATTTTCCGTCGAGTACTTTTGTAAAAAAAAATAAATAAAATAAAATAAACACCTAAACGAATCAGCAATATTATTGGTCCTGACCTGGCAGCTCGACTTCAGTCACTTGCCATAAGGCTGCCTCTCTGTGCCTTTTTTATAAATACTTTCATGGTAATTGGTCGATGGGGCTCTTCGCTATGATACGCAGTCTATATGAGTTGAAGGGCAATATCAAACTGGCGATTGAATCAGTTTACAGCTGAGCTAGCTAGATGTAGCCGTAAGTTTTATGCTAACAGTTTCTTCTCTTGCACTTCTCACTTGTGGAACTCCTTTGAGTTACATTTTCAGAGATATAAGTCCACAGGCGCTAAATCTGGAGAATATGGCGTATGTGGAAGCGACAGAATGTTGTTTTTTGGCAAGGAACTCACGAGTTAGGAGTTCATCGGTGACAGGGTGCCATGTCGTCGTAACGAATCTAATTCTTCGCGCTCCAAGGATCCGGCCCCTTTTGCCGAACGTCCTCTCCTTCAAACACTTGAAAACTTTGCAGTAGAATACTCGATTGGCGGTCTGGCCCCTGAGGGACGAATTCACGATGCACAATACCGCAGATATCGGAAAATAAAACACGCCACATGTTCAATTCAGACGGTAGGATTGCCTGCGCGGATCCATATGACAAACCAACAACATCAGCAATTTCGCTGATCCTCATAAAAGAAACAGTCTATATTAAATAAAATATCTTACACCACAGGAGACAGTATCTTCAAGTGTCTATCTAATGTGCGTGCATATCAACATGATAAAAAAAAGACCACCCCTTAATAGATAGATAGATAGATAGATAGATAGATAGATAGATAGATATGAAGAGACCGAGATAGATAGATAGATAGATAGATAGATATGAAGAGAGTGAGATAGAAAGATAGATAGATATTAAGAGACCGAGATAGTGTGTAAATAGATAGATAGATAGATATGAACAGACTTAGATAGAAAGATAGATATACATATATTAAGAGATAGATAGATAGATATGAAGAGACTGAGATAGATAGATAGATAGATAGATAGATAGATAGATAGATAGATAGATAGATAGATAGATACGAATAGACTGAGATAGATATGAACAGACTAAGCTAGCTAGCTAGCTAGCTAGATAGATAGATAGATAGATAGATAGATAGATAGATATGAAGAGACTGAGATAGAAAGATAGATAGATATTAAGAGACCGAGATAGTGTGTAGATAGATAGATAGATAGATAGATAGAGGGATAGATAGATAGATATGAACAGACTTAGATAGAAAGATAGATAGACATATATTAAGAGACCGAGATAGATAGATAGATAGATAGATAGATAGATAGATAGATGTGAAGAGACTGAGATAGATGAGATAGATAGATAGATAGATAGATGAATAGATAGATAGATAGATAGATAGATGCGAATAGACTGAGATAGATATGAACAGACTAAGTCAGCTAGCTAGCTAGCTAGATAGATAGATAGATAGATAGATAGATATGAACAGACTAAGATAGATAGATAGATATGAACGGACTGAGATAGATTGATAGATCGATAGATAGATAGATAGATAGATAGATAGATACGAATAGACTGAGATAGATATGAACAGACTAAGATAGATAGATAGATATGAACAGACTAAGATAGATAGATAGATAGATAGATAGATAGATAGATAGATAGATAGATAGATAGATAGAAACAGACGGAGATAGATAGGTAGATAGAAAGAGAGAGATGAACAGATTGAGATAGATAGATAGATAGATAGATAGATAGATAGATAGATAGATAGATAGATGCACATTTCCTCGTGGTAGGTCTTCGGGATAGCTCATCATCTTCCAGGGACGTTCTTCCGCTTTTGAAGCGCCAGTGCCACTCGAAACATTACGTCCGACCCATTGTTCCGTCACTGTAAGCTTATCGAATCATGCTCAATGCCTTTGTAACAGACTTCTCAAGTGGAACGTAAACTTTCAGGTTGGCTCTTTGTTTCAAATTCCTCTTCATCGCAAAATAGCCTGCTGCAGAATACACGTGATCATCGCTGTTATGATATAAAAGAAACAGTCTATATTAAATAAAATATCTTTCACCACAGGAGACAGTATCTTCAAGTGTCTATCTAATGTGCATATCGACATGATAAAAAAAACTCATACTTTTTGGTTAACCATTAAATATAAATATAGTTTTCTATTGAAGTAACAATCCTTTTTTAGTACATATCGCAATGAACGGATGTTTTCCCGGGGGTTAGGGATGACTGGTGTGTGGCTGCCTATTGCGTTTTTAAAACCAACCCAGATCAGGCGGAAAATGGAATGCTGATGATATACACGGATGACAGTTGCCCAGTCATCAATTTCGAGAGTCCAAAAGAGGCTCAGCGTCGTTTCGGGTGACAAATTATTTTCCACCCGGCAAGCCGTTTCTCGCAGACGAAACGTCGTAACTTTCTCGCGGCTTTCTTGCTATTTCCATGGAGAGTGTGCAGGCGAAACAACATTCCTTAGGTCCACCAGTTCAAACGTTCGCAGCTAGGACCAGCCATGCCACGCACATTGTGGCAAACAGATAGATAGATAGATAGATAGATAGATAGATAGATAGATAGATAGATAGATAGATATGAACAAACTGAGATAGTATTTATCTATATTTCTGAGATGAGATTATGTACACTATTTACATTATTCGGACTATTGTCCTCATCTTTGTCGCCATATTTATTACAACGTTTCGTCCCTTCAGTATCTGTCTATATTTCTGAGATGAGGTATTATGTACACTATTTACATTATTCGGACTATTGTCCTCATCTTTGTCGCCATATTTATTACAACGTTTCGGCCTTTCAGTATCTGTCTATATTTCTGAGATGAGGTATTATTTACACTATTTATATTATTCTGACTATTGTCCTCATCTTTGTCGCCATATTTATTACAACGTTTCGGCCATTGTACGCTCTGGCCTTCTTCAGTATCTGCCTATATTTCTGAGATGAGGTATTATGTACATTATTTAAATTATTCGGACTATTGTCCACATTTTTCTCGCTAGGAAGCGACTCAGAGAGTGACACACTGAGTTTTAGCAACTAACAATCTGCCTGAGCGGAATACCGTCTTTGTGAATCTTAGAGAGACCGTATATGTGAGGTAGCTTATGTAACACTGCGATAACTGCCTATACGTCTTGGGTGCGAAGTGATCCTTGTTCTTGATTAGGATCTGTGACAGTTTGCGTTCTGTTTTTCATTGTAGGATCCTTTTTTACTTTGCTGTAGCTACCATTGCTAATGAGGTCTTCCATCTTTGTTGCATAATCTGATTTGTCCATCGCTGCAGTAGCATTGCCTTTGTCAGCCGGTAAAGATGAGGACAATAGTCCGAATAATGTAAATAGTGTAGACTGAGATAGATAGATAGATAGATAGATAGATAGATAGATAAATAGATAGATAGATATGAACAGACTGATAGCTAGCTAGCTCGATAGATAGATATGAACAAACCGAGATAGATAGATAGATAGATAGATAGATAGATAGATAGATAGATATGAACAGAATGATAGATACATAGATAGATATGAACAGACTGATAGCTAGCTAGCCAGATAGATAGATAGATAGATAGATATGAACAGACTGATAGCTAGCTAGCTCGATAGATAGATAGATAGATAGATAGATAGATAGATAGATAGATAGATAGTGAGAGAGACAGACAGACAAACTGAGATAGATAGATAGATAGATAGATAGATGCAAGGAAGGGCAAAAATATTTTAAGTCAAGTGATAACGATTGCTGTATGAGTCGTACGATTTTTGAATCAAGCACGGGCAACGCCGGGCCATGCTGCTAGTAAGTGGATAAAGTTTCCGAGATTAGGCGGAGCCATTAAGAGTATGGTGCAGAAGTAGACTTTTAGAAGGAACCGGAACCCCAACCCTAAACAGGAAACAAGAGATAAACCTCTATACCTGTTCAAAAGACCGGGGAGGAGAGTGAACCGGACAATAGGCAAACCTATCTACTCCTATTGAGAAAAATAATAAATAGTAATTAAAATTTTCAGAGTTTAGGCGGAGACGTTAGGAGTATAGAGTTGAAGTAAACTTTTAGAAGGAACCGGAAACCCACTCCTAAACAGAAAACAAAGGATAAACCTCTGCTCTTATTGAAAAGACGAGAGAGGAGGCTGAACCAACATGTTTCGTTTAACAAGATGGACAAGGCATTTTTCGTTAGTTTTTTTTTTTTTTTTTTTTTTTTTTTTGTCTTGCGTGCGACCAAGTATTTTGTTTCCGGGAATGTAAAAATTGTCTAAATTGATTCCGGGCGCTTTTGTTTAAACAAATTAAAAATACCCAATTAATTATTTGAGATAACCCTGAGTGGAGAACTTGGAGCCATAAACATAACCTGCCTGCTGATTGCCCACGGGTCAATAATCTAGTGATAAAAACGTTGGTTCGTGAATCTGCTGACACAGAGATTATGAAATCAATCCCTGGATCGAGCAGTGTACATTTGCACTCAGTGGAAAACGAGGAGAGCCATAACTGAGCAATACCAAAAATAAGAACTAGATGAGATATCCCTAGACACGGACAGTGGAACAAGAATAGTCTACCTCCGTAGATTGAATATGGGTTCAGTTCGATATCCCTCTTCAACAAGCACCTGATGAAGGCCGGAGATGACAACGGCCGAAACGTTATAACAACAACAAAGTGATAAAAACGTTGGTTCGTGAATCTGCTGAGATTATGAGATCAATCCCTGGATCGAGCAGGGTACATTTGCACTCAGTAGAAAACGAGGAGAGCCATAACTGAGCAGTACTAAAAATAAGAACTAGATGAGATATCAGTAGACACGGACAGTGGAACGAGAACAGTCTACCTCCGTAGATTGAATAATGGGTTCAGTTCGATATCCCTCTTCAACAAGCACCTGATGAAGGCCGGAGATGACAACGGCCGAAACGTTATAACAACAACAAAGACGAGGATAATGGTCTGTGTGCAAATAATGTAAATGATCCCTCCACATCACAGATTTTAGACAGAAATAACTGTTTGCTGTGTTGAAACTTTGTAGGAGATCGACTTGTACACGAACGTATACCCGCCGTCTCCTTTGTTGACAAAAAATCGTCCCCCTCCAAGCACGCATGTAATTGCATGCATATTTCCATATAAATGTAAACTGCCACGCCAGTTTATAGACGAAAAGACATGCAAGTGTACCAGAATACAACAGCTGGTCGGCATTTTTTCTCAAATGTCACAGTTCAAGGGTGTTTTCTGAGAATGTGTCTACGCATGCGTAGACGGAAATAATGAAGCGAGAAAGCCATGAATGTTTGGAAGAAGACACAGAGACAGCAAGTGGCAGGGGTGTGAGGTAATTAGAAAGTATAGACTGTAAGATCTATAGCTGCTGTCAGCTCAAAAGATGTCAACACACAATTTATATATATATATATATATATATATATATATATATATATATGCAAAATTTCTCAGAATTAACTTTGTAGCAAAGACAGTACGTACAAATGTTATATATATATATATATATATATATATATATAAACAAGGATTTGATACTGCAAAAATTTAATTATTGCCTGAAACAGGACAGATGTCAACATCTAGGTACCTCCACTTGGTCGAGTAATAAACAGCATAGCATGATGAAAAAAAAGCCCCAAACTCAATAAAAACAAAGTTTTGTCATTAAAATGTTTATGTTATTATTAAAAGGAAAGACCAAAATATTATTTTATTATTTTTGAATTTTTTTACTCCGATCTAATACGTTCAAAATTTTGGTTAAAAATCTTGTTTTTTTACGTCAACATAAAGGTTAGTGTTTTTTTGCGTTTTTTTTTTTATCCGGTGAAAAACACATTGATTTGTAAATTCTTTCAAAAATCAAATAATTGTCGGATTTTAATGAAACTTTAAGGACATATTCAGAAATGAATGACAGTTTTTGTTTTAGAAAATCACGATAATAAATATATATATTAGCAGCATGGCCCGGCGTTGCCCGTGCTTGATTCAAAAATCGTACGGCTCATACAGCAATCGCTATCACTTGACTTAAAATATTTTTGCCCTTCCTTGCCTTTAAAGGAGTGCCCTTTGCCGTGTTGATGTTGCACCATGCCTTACTTCTTGCCTATCTCACACTGCGAATTTTTTCTAAGCTCTATACTAAACATTAAATAGGTTACGAAAAAATAACTAAACAAAATGAACACAAAACGATCAGCTTTAAAAAAGGACTCGTAACTGGAAAAACCGAATGAAAAGGAATGTTAAAAACAAATACTTTTTCACACCCAACCCAGTTCTGCGGAATCAGAATCAACGTCGAGTTTAAGCAAGCGAATGAGCCAATTGGAGTAAAGTGCCATGCAGATTTAAATTTTTCCCACTTGTGACGAATGCAGCTATCGATTTTTTTTGCATGCTAGCATGCTAGTTAACATTCGTGTCAGTCAGCTGTTGGATCTCACGCTGGCCAATAGAATCTTCCTGCCTATTCGTGGCAGCCAGCTATTGGCTCTCACTCTGGGCAGTACAAAATGGCCGCAAACTGCATGAAAACTGCCGTAGAGGCATGAAAAAATCGATTATTTCCACTATTGATGGGAGTTGGAAAATGCAAAGTCGTTCTTAGCCTTCCCGCTAACTTGGAGCATGTGCATGTAAAATTCTGGTGCAAACCCGTCGAAAATTGCGGCCGTGCATTCGTTACACACACACACACACACACACACACACACACACACACACACACACACATCCTTTTATATATATATATATATATATATATATATATATAATAAAAAAGGATTAAACATTAATATTCCATGGTCATAATTTATTTCATTGGAATCGTAAATACGATCCAATTCATCAGACCTAAAATTCAAAAAAAAACAAAAAAAACAACTCCGGAAATAAAAATAGAATTTAGAGAGAGTGTAAGTATGAGAGTGTGGGACGAATGTTAAAGAGAGGGGTAATAGACGGAGAAGGTGAGAGACTAAAACTTAACACAGAGGAGTTGTTCTTTTCTGTTTTCTTTTTGAAATTGTAGGTCTGATGAATTGGATCGTATTTACGATTCCAATGGAATAAATTATGATCATGTAATATTAGTGTTTAAGCCTTTTTATTATATCCTTACTCTGTCCTGGACATTGAGTTCTACCTGGATTCTATCCTCTCAAATTTTTATTCAAAAAATATACATGTATGTGTATGCACCTATGTATATATATCTATATATTTTGCATATGTATGTGTATATTTACCACTAATATATATATATATATATATATATATATATATATATATATATATATATATATATATATTACTATGAATGATTCATACAAAAAATAAATTAGTAAAGTTAATGATATAAAATGGCGGAATCCTTTCGCAAACAAAATTTTAAAAAGTGCATTAACCTACAAATCACTCGATGAATGTTATGATCCTTGTTTTTAAAAATTATAAGCTGTATAAGGTCTTTCTTTAATACGCAAGTACTTTCGACTGTACATTCAGTCATCCTCAGGCATGGAAACTATTTTGCTTTTGGTAAAATTCAAGTAGGATCCGAGACGTAAAAATTAAATGCGAATCGAAACATGTTTTCTTTGAAATGTCTAATTGATAACGGATACAAACTTTTGGAGTGTGCAGTCGCAACGCTAAGGTTGAATTTTTTGAAAATTTAAGAGAGTGCGTTTTTTTTTTTTTTTTACTAACATGGCAATTTGAGAATTTTGCCAAAAACAAAATAATTTCCATGCCTGAGGATGACTGAATGTATAGTTGAAAGTACTTGCGAAAGACCTTATACAGTTTAGAATTTTTAAAAACAAGGATCATAACATTCGAGGGATTTTTAGGTCAATGCAACTTTAAAATTTTGTTTGCAAAGTGTTTTCGCCATTTTATATCATTAACTTTACTAATCTACTTTTTTGTATGAATGATTCATTGTTATATAAATTGAACTGTACTACATATTTAATATATATATATATATATATATATATATATATATATATATATATATATATAATTATTTATTTAAAAATATGATTCCAACACGCTACATAAGAGGTCTCATGTTTCAAAACAAGAGCCGAAAACTTCAATATAATTATTTGAATTAAATTGAATTAAAGTAAGCTTTGTTCCATTTTCAAGCGAATATTTTTATTTTTATTTTTTTGGAATAACTTATTTCTGAAATTTACGTGTTTTAATAGCATATTCATTATTGAAATCAAAATTTCCATGGTAACAGCCAGATTTGTTGTTTAAATAGGGTGGGATGTTGAGTGCTAATAATTTGTATCAGTATAGAGTTACATTCATAGATGTCAAATATATATATATATATATATAGTGTGTATTTAAGCAGCATCTTTTCATTCATACACGTTTCATTAAATAATATAGACAAGTGTTGTCTATTTATACAATCTAAGTGATGATAGTCTGTCATTGTTTACATAGATGATCTCTAAGCAACGATAAACACGTGCAATTTGACGCTAGAAACGAAAATCGCACCGCATCTCATGACGTCACACATGACCACACGAGAGTGAATTGGAGAAGTATGAAGTATGGAAAGCCGTTGGTATAAACCAATGGCTTCTGTCACTAATTATAGACATTTAAGAATATTTGTAGAGATGCCATAATTGATTGTGTTTAGGTTGGGTTTCAACTGTTTGATGACAGACTATCATCACATCT